CTGATAAATGGGATGCACTGACATACAATGAAGTCTAATTATACATTAAAAGTATATAAATTCAACACTGCCTGAACTGGAAGAAGAGTGGTACACAGAGAGAGAAGTGAGTGGAGAGAGTACATGCCAAAAAAGAAAGATGAGGGGGCCGGCCCGGTGGCGCAAGCGGTTAAGTGCGTGTGCTCCACTGTGGCGGCCCGGGGTTCGCCGGTTCAGATCTTGGGCGTGCACCAACACACTGCTTGGCAAGCCATGCTGTGGTGGCACCCCATATAAAGTAGAGGAAGATGGGCATGGATGTCAGCCCAGGGCCAGTCTTCCTCAGCAAAAAGAGGAGGATTGGCAGATGTTAGCTCAGGGCCGATCTTCCTCACAAAAAAACAAACAAAAACTGGGAATATATCATCCAGTTTTTAAACCTGATTTTTTTTTAATTTGTAAAAATAAACAGAAATAACCTAGATAAGGAAATATAAATAAGTGAAGCATGTGGGGAGAGGCTCTCATCTACTAAATGCTGGGGCACATTGATGCATGATCAGAAGTACTGAATTTAAGAAAGATGATAGCAATGAAGGGATCCAAAATAGAAAGCTCTAACAAACTACAGTTTATTAGCTGCTGGATAAGAATGCCTAATTGATAGTTACTCAATTCTTAGAATTGGGCTTAATCCATAGGATGATTTAATATTAATATCTAATATTAGCATAACACAAAATACTCTCCTGCTCTAATAGCTAATAAAGCAATTACAGTAAAAACTGATCATTCTTATTCCTTACATGATAAACTGCTTTCATATTTGTCAGACCTCCCTGCACACTACTTACTGTATCAGGAGGACCTCCAAAAATTAAATCTAAGAAAAGTAGCACAGATTGAGAATATACAGATAATTGCATTAAGATTTTCAAAATGTGTATTCATAATGCAACTAGTATTATTATTTCCCTAGCATATAAGTAGAAAACTGCATTTATAAGGTAAATCTCACCATTTGAAAAATGTGTTAAAATATCTGAAAAACACACTGTGGTATGAGTGTACATTTCCAAACTGATTTATGCTTCACTCACATGACTGAGACAAAATATATGTGATGCTACAATTCAGTCAATTTTAAATCGTCTAAATATCATTAGTGGTTTTCATTTGGCTAACGATGATGAATAATAACTCAATATTTGATGAAATACTTGATAAATTCAAAACTCTTAAAGAAAATATGACCAAAGCAAGTTCAAGACTAATAGATATTTCTTATTAAATATAAGTATAAAACATACACTAATGGAAGTAAGAAACCTCTTAAAATTTTAGTGCTTTTGCTTCTAAGAACAACTTAGAGACCCTGTGACTGTTTTGAGTCAAGTTCAGGCACTAACTGAAAGGAAAATTTATACTTAAAGTCAATCACATTTAAAAAGACAATCTTCCATAGAACACCAAAAGGAAGTTAAGAACAAAAAAAGCTATCCATGATGATGTCAAATTAATAAGGGTGCCTGAATTTTCTCAGTGTCAGAATATAATATCTTCACTATAGCATTTGGCTATTCATTCTCAATTATTTTAACCAAAATGTTATTTGCAGTAGTTCAAACTATAAAATATTTACAGACAGCATATGTGCTATGTTGAAGCATCTATTTATATAGTTCACGTCATCAGAAGAATTTTCCCTACTTCTAAATGTAATCTTGTAATGGGCAACATTGCTACTTGACTACATCTATTCATCTTCTATCCTGTTTTAATAACACAAGTGACACCTAAGAAATTATTCTTTGATCTTTCAATAAACTAAGCCTGTGCAGACAAAGGAAGGTGAAACAGGTTAAATTGGCATTGATTATGTAAGACACATTCATCATTTATTTAACAATCTCCCTCATCACAAGAACTATTGTGTTTATAGGCTCTTGCTGAGGTACTGAATTTATTTTTTAAATAATCCTTGCCATGTGCATTAGAAATCAGAGCACATTGTAAACTAACATAGTTTCAAGTCTCCTGATAAATCTGTTGTAGGATAGAAGTAGTTTATTGTGCAAACCTTTGAACTTAATCACTGCAGGGGATTTTTGGACATTTCTTTTAATAATTTTCATTATAATTAATGTCTTCTGGGGATTCTATTTCTTATCTTAAGCAAAATGTGTAGCAACAGCTATCTTCCCAAGGAAATTATATTAATGGATACTTGTAGTCTCTCATATTCTGACACTCATATCATTGATACATGATCGTAATGATCCATAAATAACAATTTGTGGCTAATATTGACAGCTTTAGGAAGAAAGCAAAAGAGTATAAGAATCATCCATAAGGTAGAAGATTTCTACAAGATTTTTCATTATTTTTTCCTGACAAATACTATTGCAAATTATAAATAGATATAGTGTATATATGTGGGTATATATATCATATTTGTGACCAATTAAAATAATGTCAGACTATATTTCCTGAGAAAAATGTGAGCAAAATATTATAAATCAAAGGATAAGTTATTCTCATTACATATGAAAATGTGGAAAATTATTTATAAATAGATATTGAAAAGTATAGAAAATGTATCCCAGTCATAGAAAAAATTACACTGTTGATGGAATCATATATTCCAAATAGTCACACAATTCATCATATTTAAAATGTTTTACTTATCTCTAATTTGTTTATTTAAAATATTTCCCTCCTTAGTTTTTTTCCATACAAAATGCCCTAAAATTTATTACTACAATTACATCTAATTACTGGCATAAGGTTCTATATGCATATTTTTGTAATTAGTTTGCTGATTCTGATGATTATGGCCTAGAATATATCACTAGTGTGAAACAAGAAATTTTCAGAGCAGATTATTATTGTATGTTAACGACCACCCAAATCATAACAGACACTTGTACAAGGGTATCCTTTAAGGACTCACTACCAAGAAATTATTATTCTTTAACCTTTATTCAATCCAGTAAAATATGTTAGGCTCTTACTGTCAGATATGAAAAGAAGCTAGGAACAAAGAAGACTTAATAAGGATTAACTATGTGCATGGCTTTATTTTTAATTTTTATTTACATATTTAGAGAACTAAATAACTTTGATATAAGAAATTTTGTAGAAACAAGAAAATTACAGGGCATAGAGACCCCATACATAGAGGCTGCTCGTAGCTACAGCTTCATTGTCTCCCCACAGGCACCATTCATTTCTTAGCAACCATTTCTCACAAGCAGTCACTAATAGTGTTATAGATTTCTTACATTCTATATTTATAGTCAGTCATTTAGAAACTTAGAATTCAGTCTCCCGACCATCATTTTCTTAAATTGGGTAAAATGGAATATTTGAATCCAAATGCATAAGTGTTTTCCCTTTTCCTTGTTTTAAGAATACATTACATTTAATAAAAGACTAGACTTCCACACAGATCACATGGTAGTGAACAAGTGACTTCACTCCTCTGGAACTCAATTTATTTGAAAAGTGAGGGCTGTGAAGTAGGTGGACTCTAAGCTAAGTTATAGCTCCTGTGTTATATGATTTTGTTGTGTTTGAATAAGATTTAACAGAAACTATAAATTTATTACTTATTGGACAGCTCTCTGGCTTGCCGATTTAAAAATACATAGGTTATTATTTGTAAAATACAAACTGGGTTTATACCCTAGGGACTGATATACAAATAATATGTACTGTAAAATTTTTAAACAGAAAAAAGGATTCCTACAAAAGAGATAAATATTGAAATACTTGTGGTAAATCCTCTTTGAACTTAGTAAAAATCATTTCTTTTTCAAAATATGAAGTATTAATATCATTTAAATAATATATAACACTGGTATTCAACAAGTATTATATTATAGTCACAATATTGATATTAGAATATTTAGGTATCTAGAATAAACATTATTCATCATTATTCATTATTCATTATTAAAATAAATGTAACAGAAAAATTCAAAAGAAAAGCATAGCTTTTAATGCTTTTTAAATTAAAAAAATAATGTATATAAACATCTGAAAACAATTAGTGATGGAATTCAAAACTTTAGTTTATTTCCTAATAGAGACAAGTAGCTTTATATTAAATATATTAATACACTTTGCAAGGTAACACAAAAGTAACATACATTTTTACATAACGAGAACCTGCAGATAAACACACATTTTATCATTATACACCTTCATAAAACAACTTAAAATTATCTCTATTCTATTCATACTTGTCAATAAAGTGATAAAATATTAATAAATGTTTTTATATATATAAGAGGGAGTTCTCACAAATGTTAGATACAAGATAAAGAAGCTAATTCCTTTATTTTTTCATCAAAAGAAAATTTAAAGTCATGAACTTAGGCAAAATGAAAATTTCATAGCTGCATTTAAGATAGGTATTTGAATCAAAGTTATCCAAAATCATCCAGTGTTACTAGAAGCATTCTTGTATTAAAACATGTTTTACAGTCCTATATGGACAATTCAACAAGTATTTCACACTCAGAAAAAATGATAACTTCCAATTAAATTACTTTCTGCAGCCTGCACCGAAGCCCAGAGTTAAAATATTATTGTAAATTTCTCTACAAAGTTGTATTTTCTTTTATGTGCAACAGTGTAAAAATGATGCACTTGGCTGGTGATTGCAAGCTTAATAACTTTATTAAACTGTTAATAAATAAATTAGTACTTTCTTAAAAATAAATTGTCCTACATATGTATCTTCCACATGTCTGCAAATTTACTAATTCAAAAGATTGTATTAGAGATGTTGGTTTAAAAAAAAATTAATAAGACATCGGTATGCTAGTCGGTACCTGTAATTATCTTTTTCAGTTCCAGATGGTATTTGGGGATTATTTAAGAGCAAAAGATGAATGGCGCACCACTAAATCCTATTAAATCAATGCATGGACACAGCAGCAGCAGAGGTAAATAAGCTGTGGAGGTCTGAATACCAATAAAGAAGATAAAAATGGTTTTATATAGCTACTTACATCATAGCCTAGAAGTTCCGTCTGTGTGGATTTATCTACTCTTGAAGCAAAAGCCTTCTGTAAATGCTGGACTTTCTCCTGTAGGAAAAAAAAACACAACACTGTTGGTGACTCATGTGCTTCTATGCTAATAGTCCCCATTTATAAAGATTTGATTAGTGTACAATTCATGATTCTCTGTGTGTATGCTTTGCTCTTTTACTGTTTTGCATATCAGCTTAAGTATTCAGAGCTTTAATCTTCAGGTCATAACTACTCTACCTTTGGCATCTGTTCTTTTAGTACAGGAACTGCTGAGTCAGAACCACAGTTGAATGCTAGAGAGACATGATTTGCTTGAATCCAAGACCAAATGCTTATGCTGTTTCTTGGTAACTATTTTTTGTAAATTAAATTGACAGGATTTTATTTATCTAGTTTCAGAGCATTTACATTTAAAATCCAAAACATTTTCAATAAATAATACCATCTAGTGGATTCTATTTAGGTTTTTTTTTTTTTTTGGCTTCTTAATCCTCTGCTCCTGGAATCTACACATTTAGGAATCTCTACTTTAAGGGATTTGACACCAGCTTAATGCTGTTATAACTAGGTAAGGGAAGCAATGCATGAGGGAAGTTTGGGATTTCATATCTCCAATGCAAATGTACTAATTCTGGTCTACTAATTTGACTGGGTTTCTGGCTGAGGCTTTCTTTTCTCATTCCTAAATATGTCACTTAAAATAAAAGGGGATCTTGAGCTCAATTATTCTGTAATGTGTCTACTGTGTGCCTGGAACAGCTGGGGGTGCTATACTCACAGGATCACATTTCATCTTGGGATTTTTACTACTATTGTCACCCATTTTCAATGAGAATAATACAGTTTAGAAATTTTAAATACCTTGAGAAACTTTCCAAAGAAGTTCATGTGATTCCACTAGACTGTTTTTGCCTTAACTTGCTTTAAAGGAGAATTTCTTTTGAATGCTTAATTAAATAGTTGTATAATATCTTAATGATAAAAACTGTGATTTAATTCACCTTTTTCCAGGAAGGAATAGTGGTCATCATGAACCTTACTACCAAGAACTCCAATTACACAAAACTTTCCCTTCCTCTTTCCCCTCTGCATTCCTCCTCCTTCCCCTTCCTGCTACTTTCCTCCACTCTCCATGCCCTCTTCTCTTTCCCTCAGTTCTGCATGAGATTTGCAATTTAGCTGAGTTGTTTCACAAACAGCATACATAGTTTAGGAAAACAATTTATCTGACTTACTGAAATAGAGAAAAGTAATACTTTATTGACTATTAACGTGTCATAGGTTCTAACTTCCCTATTACAAAACTTCTAGTGCTGCTATTCAGACAAAAATGAAATGCAGATTAGATAATTCAGGAAGATGTAATGCAAGTGAGGTAAGATTTCAATTGTTTGAAAAAGATAAGTGAAACGTGGCCGCATTTTTCAAACTAAATTTAAAATGAGAAGTAACAAGTTGTGTTTAAGCTGAAAAGAAAATATTCAATAATCTCAAGATACAACTCTATTTTATCTTGAATTATTATTTTAATTATCTACAGAGAAGTTGGTGAAATTCATCTACAAGATGAAAAGGAGATAAACATAAAAAATAGAACATGAGGGCCTACTTGTAGTAGTTAGCTTTAGAAACTATAATAAAAGGAAATGTACTCATTAATAAAATTAACAAAGACCGATATAGGAAATATATGTAATAGTGCCTACAGCATTACTATATGATTACGTTCCTTCAGGCTGAAGGTGAAGAGAAAAAAAAACAAAAGCATCTGTATTGTTAAAAAATAAAGTTTTGGAGGCTGGCCCCATGGCACAGTGGTTGAGTTTGGCATGCTCCGCTTCGGCGGCCCGGGTTTGCAGGTTCGGATTTTCCTCAAGCTAAAAAAGAGGAAGACTGGCAACAGATGTTAGGTCTGGTCTGGGCCAACTTCTTCACAAAAAAAAAAAAAAAAAAAAAAAGTTTTGTAAAGAGTAGCTTTGAATTGGGAAAAGGAATATCTTAAAAATGTAAAAGAATACAAAGTCTGCTTAAAATAGTATAATCCTAACTTTAGATCCTAAGTCATGGGTCTAAAGGTTAAAGTTTATGGAAAGAGAAATAGTATTGAAAGATTCATGCTCTAAAAGAGGAGAAAAGCTAACTTTTAAAATTGAAAAGTAATGTAATTCAACCAAGAAAATTCACAAAGTGTTCGGAGTCAAGTTGAAACTAGAAATTCGGTGGGTCAAAAAGAATTTGAACATAGGCTTGTAATGGACTTCAATGTCAATAATAAAAGATATTTAAACAAAACAAAAGCAAAAAACTAAAGGGAAAATCATTGGGAGTGCTTAATGATACCAAGCCCACGGACAAGCTCAGGCATGAAAAGACAATACTATAGAGCTCACATGGATTATTTCCCCCCACCTTTAATGAGGGCTTATCACTGAAGACATCAGTAGAATTATAAACAAGCATCAACAGTGACCAAGAAAATCAAACTTCCTCACAGAGAACATAAAATTTCTTGGAACTATGAAGAAAACATTAAAATCTAAATATTATTTTCTTCTTCTTATGAAAAATTGCTAACATAAAACAAAAAGTAGGGAGAAGAACACAAAGAATCCCTACGCACTCATCACTCAATTTCAGCAAGAGAGTTTGGAATGTGAGTACTAGTATCAGCTACATACTTAAACAGCTCCACTGGTCAGTACTGCCCTTCAACTTAGCTAAGAGCTGTCTGTATTAGAGGACCCTGACCGGGAGGAAATGTCTGTAAATCAACACAACAAACATCTGGATAACATATTTATTTTCATCTGAACTTATGACACCTGAACTAGGAAACTGCCTGATATCCTCCACCATCCACCGCTTTGAGACTGCACTGGAGGTGATTTTTTCTGCAATTAAGAGGACATATCATTACACAGCATATTTTAAATTTATGGAATTCATTACCCATAAGAGATGGTACAAACTGAAAATATACCTAAATGTAAGAAAAGTTTATATCACTTCATTTAAGAGATAGATGTACCAAAAATGTAAATTATGAATTTTTATATCTTTGGAGACTGAAATCATTAGAGATACTGGTACCCAGAGAACTGCATGCAAAATTCGAGATGTAAAGTATGCCAACTATTTTTCCCCCCAAAAGAACTGAATGATATTTTCTACTTCAATTCTAACATTAGTGTTCTAGTTCCTGACTTTTTTTTCAAAGAGCATGTTGTACCATATATTAACACCACTAAACAAATATATATTTGATTTCTTTAGTGATTATGACAGGCTAATCAATTTCTTCTAGCTGAATACTCTTCTCAGTAAGATGGAGCTAATTAAGAAAGGTCTCATAAAGAGGGACATGAAGGAGATGTCTTTAAGTTAGATCATTTAGAAGCCAGAGACATGAATTTCCTGGGTTAAAAACAGTAGGCATTTAGTGACTGATCAGGAAAGGCATGGGAGAAGCTGTGATTGAGAAATATTACCCACATTGTTTGGGCCTGGCCCCTCCATGATTCAAGACATCTCTTAATTGCATCTCTAAAATTTATTTCACAATCACTTGTTCCTTTTATGTCTACAGTCACTACCCTGATCTACTACCTAGGGGCGAGCAGGGGAATGCAGCATAGATGTATGCCAGGTGTGCACAAGCCATCACCATCTTTTACTCCAATAGCCTCTGAACTGGGTTGAATAGCATCCGCCAAAATTCATGTCTATTCATGTCATGGAACTCGTGAATGTGACCTTATTAGGAAATAGGATCTTTGCAGATGTAATCAAGTTAAGATGAGGTTATACTGGATTAGGATGAATCATAAATCCAATATAATTGGTGCTCTTATAAGAAGAGGGACATTTGGACACAGCAACACAGATATACAGAAGAGAAGGTCCTATGAAGACAGAGGCAGAGATTAGAGTGAGGCATCTATAAGCCAAGCAATGACAAGGACTGCCAGCAACTACCAGAAGCCAGAAGAGGCAGTAAAGGACCCTTCCCTAAAGCCTTCAGAGAGAATATGGTTTTGTGGACACCTTGATTTCAGACTTCTAGTCTCCAGAACCGTGAGAGAATAAATTTCTATTGTTTTAAGTCAGCCAATTTGTGGTACTTGGTTACAGCAGCCAAAGGAAACTAATACAGCCTCCTAACTGGTATCCCTGTCTTCACCCATACTTTCTATACTAAAACTTATCTGTAAATAACAGCAAAGTAACCTGAAAATGTGACTTGGATCACATTATTCTCTTGCTTAAAACCTGTTAATATCCATCCCAATAGGGTAGCCACTAGCCACATGTGTCAAATGAGCACCTGAAATGTGGCTAGTCCAAATTGAGATGTGTGCTAAGTGTAAAATACACACTGGATTTTGAAGACTTAGGTACAAAAAAACTTCATTAATAAAATCTTATGACTAATTTTATATTTATTACATCTGAAATGATACTATTTTGGATATATTAAGTTAAATAAAATGTATTTGAAATATTAAAGTACACGACTATCATTTGTTGCTCGTTTTATATTTCTATCAAACAGTTCTGGTCTATATAATAAAAAGTAAACCTTTACCATGATGTACAGTCCCTGCCTTTCCTGGCCCTTATTTATTATGCTAATGTCATCTCAAACCAATCTTCCCCTTGCAAAAGTGACTCATACTTATTTTCTTTCAGTTGCTTGAGTGGATCGAGATTTTTTGCACATGGACTTTTAACATGCTATTTCCTCCATTTGGAATGTTCTTCATATTAAGTGTTACTGCCTTAGAGATAGCCTCTTGAAAGTAGATTCCCATCTCCAGGTGATTCTCTCTTTTAACCTTCTTTTTACTAAATGTCTCTCATTTCAACTGACAATTATTTCTTTTATTTGGCTGTTTGCCTAAATTTGGTCTGTCTTCTGCACTAGCACATAAGCTCCTTACAGCAAGGATCATGGGTATTTAGAGCCATACTGACTCCACATTGCCTAACATAGATTTTGGCACATTCCAGGTGCTCGATACTTTTTTGAATAAATGAAGTAGTGAATGAGAGAT